GGGGGGCATTGTGGTATTGATGCTGATGGGGATGACGGGGTGGAAAGATTGATGATGATGGTGGTGATGATGATGATGATCGTGATGATGGTGATGATGATGGTGGTGATGATGATGATGGTGATGTTGATTATGATGATGATGATGATGTGCTATCCAAATCTGACTTTTAAAGATCACATGTTCCACTTTGCATGAAAATGCAAAAAAAAACCCAACCCAAACCAAACCAATGCTCAGGACACAGCTACCGATAAAAAGTTCTGAGCAACTTTGAGGAGGAGAGAAAAGTGTTTATGGTGTGGTGGCGAATTGGCGGCTGTGTGGCAGCTGTGTGGCGGCTATGTGGCGGCTGTGTGGCGGCTGTGTGGGGGCCGTGTGGTGGCTGTGTGGCGGCTGTGAAGCGGTTATGTGGCGGCTGTTATCTCCCTCATCCCGCCGGTCGGTGGTCGGGGCGCCGGCTCACTTCCGCCCGGAGAGTCTGCAGAGACTGTCAACCGTAGAGTTGTGCTGGGATGTATCTGAGGCATCGCGTTCTGTCGTATACTGGGCCACTATAGATCTATATCTGAGGTCACGCGCTCTGTCGTACACCTGGCCGCTATAGATCTGAGATCACGCGTTCTGTCATATACCGGGCCACTATATATCTATATCTGAGGTCACGCGCTCTGTCGTATACCGGGCCACTATATATCTGAGGTCACGCGCTCTGTCGTATACCGGGCCACTATATATCTGAGGTCACGCGCTCTGTAGTATACCGGGCCACTATATATCTATATCTGAGGTCACGCACTCTGTCGTATACCGGGCCACTATATATCTATATCTGAGGTCACGCGCTTTGTAGTATACCGGGCCACTATATATCTATATCTGAGGTCACGCGCTCTGTCGTATACCGGGCCACTATATATCTATATCTGAGGTCACGCGCTCTGTCGTATACCGGGCCACTATATATCTGAGGTTACTTCGTATTCCGGGCCACTATATATCTATATCTGAGGTCACGCACTCTGTCGTATACTGGGCCACTATATATCTGAGGTTACTTCGTATTCCGGGCCACTATATATCTATATCTGGGGTCACGCGCTCTGTCGTATACCGGGCCACTATATATCTATATCTGAGGTCACGCACTCTGTCGTATACCGGGCCACTATATATCTATATCTGAGGTCACGCGCTCTGTCGTATACCGGGCCACTATATATCTGAGGTCACGTGCTCTGTCGTATACCGGGCCACTATATATCTGAGGTCACGCGCTCTGTAGTATACCGGGCCACTATATATCTATATCTGAGGTCACGCGCTATGTCGTATACTGGGCCACTATATATCTGAGGTCACGCGCTCTGTAGTATACCGGGCCCCTATATATCTATATCTGAGGTCACGCACTCTGTCGTATACCGAGCCACTATATATCTATATCTGAGGTCACGCGCTCTGTCGTATTCCGGGCCACTATATATCTGAGGTCACGCGTTCTGTAGTACACCGGGCCACTATAGATTTGAGGTCACGCGTTCTGTAGTACACCGGGCCACTATAGATCTGAGGTCACTCGCTCTGTCTGTCGTATTCCGGGCCGCTGAAGGGGACGCACGAGTTTACCCTTTTTTAGGCGATTGAAAAAGGGGGGAAGGGGGGGTAAGGGCTGGACACTAGACAAGAGAGAGAGGCAGGCGTGTTGTCCTTGGTCTAGACACAGTGTCACGTGTTGTCCTTGGTCTAGGCACAGTGTCACGTGTTGTCCTTGGTCTAGGCACAGTGTCACGTGTTGTCCTTGGTTTAAGCACAATGCCACGTGTTGTCCTTGTCACGTGTTGTCCTTGGTCTAGGCCACAGAATTCTACACTAATAGAACGGGAACTGTACCACGTGACCTGTGAGGAATTGAAGACCGAAAATAATGGCGTCTTGAGGGCACGATTTATCGTTTTTGAAAGTACCGGGTAACCCTATAGCTTTTAAAGCAAGAGCAGCTTTTACAAACGAGTGAAAAGTGGAACATTTACTGTCCAGTTTGTAATTTTGAGTTACAGAATTCACTGTGCAACTAGAGATTGGAATCAAGGTTTTAAATTGTTGTGTTTTTGGGTGCAACAACAGAAAAAGCAGACATAGAGAGTTTATAAATATAAGATCTACAGAACTGTGAAAAAATTCGTAACACGGATGGGATTGTTCACAGCACTTCTAGCTTCCCACACACATTTTGCAGACGCATATGGCCTACGTAATTTTTTAGTAGCACAACTTGTTACAAGAAATTTGTTTTACACTGAACATATTTTTTCACTAGATCTAATTAATGTTCTCAAAACATGCGTTCAATAATTAGCTTTATGTCACCAGCAGAAGTAGAAAAAAGGACGGACTTGCTTTTAAAAGAGATTTAGCTCCAGCTATAAACCTTTTAAAAATCTGTAGAAACCATTGACTGGGATTTTTTTTTAAATATTGGGCTAGTATTTATTAAAGAATTTTCTTTAAAAAAATTTCTAGAATAATATAGAACCTATAGATGTGTACACATGTTTGAAAAAAATACTCATCGGTTAAGACGAATTGATATAGATCTAAGTCATTGTGTAAAAGTAGGAGAATCTAGATCTAGCTGTTCGATAGTTCAGTAGCCTAGATATTTGATAATAAGTTGCGCATCAAATTTTTGACCGCATGCTGCAGTAGTAGAGATAGCGTATTATTTTCATCCGAAACATTAATTTCCGCATCCATACACCTTTTTGGGCCTTTATAAGCACATGTAGTCCTACTTTAATTATGTTACTTTCATAATTGTTTTTGAAAGCATTTTCAATTCCTTTCACTTTCACTTTCCACGCGCTGGCTCATATTGGAATCTGACGAATGTATTATTAAATAGCGTATAATGCTGAGTTAGCCAATGCATTGCAATGCGCACTATTATCAATTATTGAATTGTAACTAGACTTCAATTTGATCCGTAACAAGAGACCACTTATTTTTTTTATACGTGTTCATGAATGTGTGTTTGTTTATTGTGTGCGGGGATTAAAAATTAAAGATTAAAGATTCCAGATCTGACGAATGTATTTATAAAATAGCGTAATACTATAGTGCTGGGTTAGCCGATGCCTTGCGATACACGCTTTTATCAATTAATTGAATTGTTACAGGACTTCGATTTGATCCGTAACAAGACAACACTTATTTTTTCTTATACGTGTTCAAAAATGTGTGTTTGTTAGCAACGCGAAGACTCGCTGTGGGGCGCAGCCAAAGGTGCCCTCAACCGGCCGCCATGTTTTAGTTTCAATTCCTCACAGCGAATCGGCGATCGCGAAGAGGGAGTTCCGCTTGTATAAGTGTAGAATTTTCGATGACAGCAGGACACAAATCATTAGCGAGCACATTTCGCCTGGTTCCCTCATTTGACATAATATTGTGTTTGTTTTCGTAGAGGTTTTACGGCGCTTGCACCTGCTTAAGGTCACGGGAGATTAGAGGTGTTACAAGAGAGTAACCCATAAAAAAAGGAG